AGTTGCCTATGCTATTCCTGACCAACTCCTGGCCTCAGGAGATGCACATGCGTTACCTGGAAAGAGCAAACAGAATGGCACAACAGCCTTCCATGGCTCCTTATGCCTGCTCAAGCCCACCTGATCTGCAGCTTCGACAAGCAGAAGAATGCTCTGAGGCAAAGCCCGATTCCTCCTCTGATCACCTTTTCTAGAGAGTAGTTACTGCTACTCATCTAGCACAGACTGTGTTCCACAGCACCCCACCCAAGTGAGGAATATTTTTGGTTCAGGGGCCACATTGTACATTTGTGATTCAATTGTTACCTTCTGCACGAACGCAATCTCTCTGAAGTCCTAAACTTCTCTAGAAAATTCTGAAGCAATGAGAGAAAAGCAAAGAGAAATGCATAGAGGAACCTGCTGTGTTTTAAGTCTGAATTCAGTCATCAGCCCACGCATGTCACTATGGGCAGGTTACAAAATCCAAAGTTGGGCTGGAAACATTTATTGTAACAACGCTTTTTCTAAAACCCAGAATGTTGGGTTTTTTCATGCTCTACAGCAGGGATCTCCAACAGCTGGGAACCTGCAAGCACCTTTGGAATTCTGACACATAGTGGTGGGCATAACCACAAAACGGCTGCTGCAAGAAGTGGAGCCACACACACACAGGGGAAGCCTAAAGGGAGGGGAGACTAGGGATAATTAAAAAAAAAAATACACTGGTGAAAGAGGAGTGAAAGAATAAAAGCAGCCCTGTGGTGGCAGCTGCCACTGAAGCAATGTTATTTTAATCTGCCCAACCAATCGCATCTCCAGCCGCCCATCAGAACCCTTGCTGGGCAAGAGCCCTATCCAGCCCCTCCCACCTTCTAAAAACACCTGGTGGGCACCAGAAAGGTGTTGGGTGGGCACCATGGCAGTCATGGGCACTGTGCTGGGGACCCTGCTCTACAGCCAAGTCTTCTGATCAGCTACCGATGAGCCACAGATGACTTGCATGTCCACGTGGATGAGCAGGATACTAACTTTCACCTTTGAGAGCGTGCAGGACAAGGCCTAAAGACAGGAAGGGGAGCCTTACTCTGAGAAGCCCTTCCACTTGAGCAGGTACTCGACTTTGCCTTTCACCACCCGCCTGTCAAGGACCTTCTCCACCACATATTCTTCCTCCTCTTCTTCTAGGACCTCCTCCACTTTCTTCTTGTTCTGCTTTTTTCCCATTGTGCTCGCCAGTTTTGCAGCTTAAAGGGAGGCTGTTAGAGAAAAAGATGTAAGCAGAGGATCAGGCATCAAAACAGGATGTGAAAATATAAACGTTTAAGAAGAAGAGTTGGATTTATACCCTGCCCTTCACTTGGGAGTCTCAGAGCGGCTTACAATCTCCTTCCCTTCCTCTCCCCACAACAGACACTCGGTATGGTAGAAGGGGCTGAGAGAGCTCTGAGAAAACTGTGACTGACCCAAGGTCACCCAGCTGGCTGCATGTGGAGGCGTGGGGAATCAAACCCGGTTTTCCCAGATTAGAATTTGCCACTCTTAACCACTATGCCACACTGGCTCTCTGGGTTTAAGCGCCATAACTGTCACTACTAAAAAGAGAAAGCACATTGTGGTGCCTTGAAAATGAAAGCCATAACAGACCTTCACCAAATGCACCCTGTGCACAGGTGAAGCCTTTGTTTGTTAAGTCATAGGTAGTTTTGTTCCCACTGATCCAATTGTGACAAGAGGTCATGTATATTTCAGATTGTTTTCCCTAGATCTACCTTGCACTTTGTCTTTCACTGTTGTTCAAATATTTGTATTATGAAACCTAAACAGGGATGTAAAAATACAAGTAGATATACAACAGAAGATTTTTTTACATGGTGTGCCAGAAGAGACACATCTCAGTAGCAGAAATAAATAACATGGAAAAAGAGCAGCATGGCATGTATTGGTCTGCATGTCAGACTAGGATCTGGGAGATCCCCACCATGTCATGAAGCCCCACACACTCTCAGCCTGTGCTTGCTCACAGGGTGATTGTTGTCAGAGATGGGGAACAATGTTGTAAACTGCTTGGGATCCCCACTGGAGAGAGAAGTGGAACAAAAGTATCTAAACAGAGAAATAAACAAGCAACTGCGGACTGAAGAGCACAGCAGGATGCACCAAAGGCCCACCAACACCAATGGGAGCCAGATGGCAAGCTGAACCCTTGCTTGATAGCACGTCTCCACATCTAGTGGGGCATAACACACAAATACCACACAATGGGTGCATTCGCTGGCTCACACTGGAGGGTTTGTCCAATCTTTTTGCTGCAACTGGACAGATATGGTCACTGAACATAAGACGTATTTTTGATACAAAGGCAGTTGTGAGCATACAACTTTGTCAGCAACATTTTAACGCTGTCAAGCCCTGTACAGTGAAGTTCTTCTGTCGAAACCAGCAAGCACTGCCGGTGTTTCCCTCAGAGGACTCCTGTTCTTCAGGCCAGCACTTCATGCCCAAGCAAGCAGGAGCCCCTGCTTCTCTCCCTTTAAAAACAGTAAGATCTGTGTCTGAATGCATGAAAGAAGGATTACACTGGTGAGGAAGGAGGCACTGAGGATGAGGTAGAGGCACCACAAGGGCACCCAGCAAGCATGGGAGATTAAACAGCTTGCTGTTTCTGGAAATGAAAAGTTACAGTCTACTGGAAAAAGAAAACTGTGCTGGCCTCCTGCAGGCAAAGCATCTCTCAGCAGGAGGATACACTTGTCTCAGTCGGGGTCTGATAAAACACAGACAAAAGGGGCCGTCAAGCACAGCCAGGGTTTAGAGGGAATGGGGCTCGTTTGCAGTGAAGGATGGTTGGCTAGGGAGAGAGACCCAGGAACAGCAGCAGAATGGGGAGGAAGGGGTAAGATTTCTAAAGGACGTGGCAAATCAAACAGGAGTTCAGGGACAAACTACACTTATCCCAGCATAAGCTTTTGTGGGTCAGAACTCACTTCCCATGGATGCATGAAGTGTTCATCCATTATTAGGCAGACGCATTTATACTTCAAACTACAAACAACAGAAAGGCAGCTGTGTTGTGTTTGTACATGGGTGAGCAGACAATTACATTAAAACACAATCCAACTAACAAAATAAATCACTCGGCGAGTAAAGGCCACTACCAAATGTTAGTAGACATATAAAATGGGATTAACATTCTATCTAACCCAGGAAAGTACAAGATGGGGCAAACAGATCCTGTTAGAAATGTAGAGTGAACATTCAGAAGTTAGCTAAATAAACTGGCAGCTATAAGGGCAGGCGATGCTAATAAAATGCTAATTGGGTCACAATAAAAATGGAGGATGATGGAATGTTGTAAACTGCTTTGAATCCCCATTGGGGAGAAAGGTGGGATACAAATGAAGCAGATAACTAAAGCTATTATGCATAACCATAATCCCAAACCCTTGTTCAAAGGGGGAGGGGGGGAGAGTTTGAATGACTGGCAACATTGAATTTCTTAATCCTGCACTTACCCATTAGATTTTCCTTCTGAAGTTCTTTTGTAGGAGAACAATGGCTTTTAGATCTGCAACAGAGCACCCTTGAAGATAAAGGGGCATGCCTTCACTGTCAGCTGAAATGGTCCTGGTGGGCCTGGCTCTCAAGAAACCTCTGCACCCCAGAAATCTACTGCCTCCACAGTTCCATGAAGAAAAATGCCACAAAATTTAAGACTGATCTGAAACCAGTTTACAGCTGCAGTGTAGACCATCTTATCAAACTGGGAAGAAGGAACAGGCAATTTTGCATGGCTTAGTAGTCGTCTTATTACCAGTAAAGTCTGAGATACAGCTTGACAGCCACAAAATCCTTTCAGCAAAATTCATCTTGATATGTCAACTGGAGGGGAGAAGATGAGTAGACAGAGGAGACAAGTCTGCAACTTCCACAAGTATCGTTTCAAGTGCAACAAACTCTGTTTCTAATCTGAGACTGGATGCTCAACTGACTAACCCTAAACATTTCGACACATGAGACTCAGAAGTCATAAGAGCTGAGTTAAAGTGCCTTCTGAACCATACTGATACTCCTCATTGCCTTTAGGTATTAACATCCTTCTCTGCAAGCACATCCACAGCAATCAGAAAGTGTCAGGATTCCAGGAGGATGTTCAAGAGCTTCACACACAGTGTTCTGAAGCTACCCTGTGGGTGATAAAGCGAGTCAGTCCCCTCACCAGACTCACAACAGCTTTTATGAAACTGCATGATTTCAGTTTATTCTACTAACCTGCTTAATTAAATTGAGGGCTCTACAAAATACAAGGGAAGGCATGAAAGGAGGAGAGTGTAACCTTGGTCAACTTGCATCCAGAAAGATTATTAATGTCTCCCAAACAGGTTTGCAACAGTACTCCAGTCTCTGCTGTAGCTTCAGACCATCTCCACACTTTTCATTAGCAGAGGAAAAGCCATTTTGTCAGAATTCAGCTGACCCTCCTTTCTATGCACCTCCATTCTCAGACTTCCTAACACAGTCAGCTTTGGACAGTGATGAAGTCTATTCTTCAAGCCTCCATTAACACATCTCCATAAAAAGCTCTATGTAGAAACAGAGCTCTGATATTTGTCGGGGCTACAAAGCCAGAGTATGTTATGAGAGACCCAGATCCAAGGTCCCATTTTGCCACAAACCTAGCTGGGCAACATTCAGCCTAACCTACCTCACAGGATTGCCAAGAGGATAAAATGGAAGATGGAAAGAACTATGTGTACCACCCTGAAACAGTGTTCCCTCTAAGCCAAGTTAGTGTGAGCTAGCTCAGTTTTTTAGCCTCTGGCTCACAGATTTTTGTCTTAGCTCAGGAAGGATGGCTCTAGAGCAAACTAATTCATGCAGTAGTCAAATCACTCGCTCACAATTTTAATGCCAGTAGCTCACAAAGTCGAATTTTTGCTCACAAGACTCCACCGCTTAGAGGGAGCATTGCCCTGAAGCCTTTGGAGGAAGGGCAGGATAAAAATGTGCTAATAAATATCACCCGTGTGCTGTTTCCATTTTATAGTCTTTTTACGATCAGCATTTCTATCTTCTCTGTTACATGTTTTTAGGTTACATCTCAATAGTAGCCTCATCCACATGGTGCTGATGCTCCTCTGCCAGTGTGATACAGTGGTTAATAGCAGTGGACTCTAATCTGGAAAACATGGTTTGCTTCCCTCCTCCTCCTCCACATCAAGCCGGCTGGGTGACCTTGAGCCAATCAGTTCTCTCAAAACTCTCTCAGGCCCACCTGCTTCACAAAGTGACTATTGTGGGGAGAGGAAGGGAAGGTGATTGTAAGCCACTTTGAGACTCCTTAGGGTAGAAAAAAGTAAATGTAAAGGTTCCCTTGCTCGAAAGCCAGTCAAATCCGACTCTAGGGTTGCGGTGCTCATCTCCATTTCAAAGCCGAAGAGCCAGCGCTGTCCGAAGACGTTTCCGTGGGCATGTGGCCGGCATGACTAAACACCAAGGCGCACGGAACGCTATTACCTTCCCAAAGTGGGGTATAAAAACCAGCTCTTCTTCTTCTACCCACACAAATGCTCACCCCATATACCTTTTCCTTGGGCTATATATCTAGAGCCGGTGACTTGAGTGCGGAGGCCAAATTAAGGGACATTTTTTACAGAAACAGCTGAAGTTCAAAATGTTGGCTACAAACTTTTGAGTTGCACGAGCACAGATGAAACTGGGATCTGGAGGCCACAAAGCCAAGACAGCTGGGAGGGGGGAAGGATTCCTATGGCAGATATTAAAATTACTACCAGCTACGAACTGTAGGGTACATGAACATTAATTGTGAGGTTCAAGAAAGAAGCCAGCTTGGCTTAAGACACTTTCTTTAGCAAAACAGGTCTTCAGATTCCCAAGAGTAGGAAAAGCAGGGTTTAAAAATAATAAACATCCCCTCATGTGACCGCATGCATGCAACCCTCTGTTTGCCAAAGTGAGGCACATCCTACAATGCTGTTGCCTGGTTACCTTCCAAATAGTGACCCAACTGATTACCTTTTAACACCACTTTATCTTAACAAGCAGACCTGCCATCAACTGAAATATATACACCAAGACTGATTTTTATTTTAAAGAGATTCTTTACCACATCTACATTATCAGGTTTCTTCTCACCCTCACCTACTTATTTATGGCTCTCTCCTAACCAAGAATGGTCAATGTGGCTATGCTCTAAATCCATTCACTTCTAAGGTGACTTCCCCCAAATGACCCTCTATAAGTCTTTCTGTTTCTAGCACTTCTCTACCATTACCTCTTCTACTATTCACGTCACATTCCTCCCTACTACCCAATATATTTCCACAACTCCCACCATCACTACAAACCAGATTGCCCAGGAGCACATCCACCCATCTCCAGTATTGCCCCATTGCATTTTCTATCTAATCTGTAGCAGTCCCCTCCCCCCCCATAAAGTTGCAGCTGACTTACATGGCAACTGCATAGGTTTTTGAGGCAAGAGATATTCAGAGGTGGTTTGCCATTGCCTGTCTCTACCATTCAGGTACTGACCATACCTATACCCATAGTTAATCTACTGAGCCCATCATATACACCCCCTGCCCTTTCCTAGAAGTCCAACCAAGTTATTCCTTGTATCTCTGTGATTTGTATCTGGAATCTACCCGTGACACACAGTAGGGACTTCCCCCAGCATTCCTACTCAACTCAACTCCCTAAATGCACTGCTAAGGAATACTGGCACCTCTGCAAATCAATGGATGCCCACCTATCATACACTCCTGCCTAGGATATCTTGCACTAGCACAGTTCCCAAAACAATGAACCCCAGCATGCAACAGTCTACTGAAAAATACTTCTCCAGTTCGCCCAACACTGCCATCTCAGTCCCCATTGCCAATCAGTCTTTTGGCCAGGATCACAAGGACTATCTTCCCTGAAATGCATATCTCCTCCCTTTTTACATCTTTGCACAGCCCCCCAGCAGCCACTAAATACTTTATGTTTAGCCCCCTCCACCAATCAATTCACCAATATCCCCCACTTCCCACCACTCCAACCTTGCCCATAAGGCCCCTCCCCCAAGTACCCAGCCTGCCTCCACAAAATACCATCATTATCACTCCACCCTCAACACTTTTAGAGTGACTAGGAAGAACAGATTTAAATCTCCACTTGCCACAAAACGTACTGAGTACCCTTGTTGCTGTGAGACTAAAAAGGAGGTGAAGAAAATGGTGTATACCACCTTGAACTCCTTGGAGGAAGAAGTAAAAAATGCAAATTAAGTAAATAAGTAAATCCACTCCCCCCCCCCCTTTTAGGGAATAAAAAACCTATTTGGTGTCCACACCCATATTAAGAAATGGGCTTCCCTCACTTTTTACACACTTTCAGCCTTGTACCCGCCCCCCTGTAATTCCCTCTAGGTTACTTTAAAACAGTCCCTCCCTCCCCCAATTCAGAAAAACCCAGATTATGCTCCTTTGCAACCCTATATTTCTCACCTCCAAATATGAAAAGACTCTCCTTCCACACACTACACAATATAATCATAGTCTCTTCCATTCCATAATCTACACTTATCCATTCACATCTGAAGTGAGCTCTGTCTCACAAAACCTCACATTTAAATAAATCTGGTTCATCTTCAAGGTACCACTGGACTTAAAAAACAAAATCTGTAACAAGCCAACCCCTGCCACAACGTTTAAAGAGTTCATCCAATCCACTCTTTGGAAGCCCCCCCTCCCTCAAAATATCCATTTAACAAAGACCCATAATGCACCCCTCTAGAATCCATGCATTTCCCCCCTTTTCAAGGCTACCCGCCCCCCTCCAGCATCCTCCACTTCCCTCCCTTATCCCCCCCCTCGCATTAAGTCAGTTGAGCAAATGCAGAGTTGGAAGAAAAGGCAGGGAAAGGAAACCAGTTAGGAATACAGGACTTGGAAAGCCAATGGGGGGGGGGGAGACCCCCAAACCCAAGAGGCAAACCGAAGTCACTGCAGTCTAAACGGTGTGTGTGTGTGTGTGCAATTTAAGTAAGTGAGGCTTTTGAAAATATCGCTTTGAGTAACGAGTGAACCCCTGAGAGCCTTTGGAGAGTCCCGCCCACCCCCCTATTAAACGTTATTAAGAGAGCAATCCC